CTTGGCAACCTTGGGGCCTATTTTCCTATTATATGATAATTAAATGCATATTTTCCATCACTGCTCCAAAATGTAGCTGTCTTCAGTGAAATCTCTTTGTATTGACAGAAAAGGGCAGATTCTGATGCCATGTCAGCCTGGTTCATACTAGGGTAAACCTATTGACTTGGTTGTACCTGATGAACTCTTTTTTCACTGGCATTTATGTAGAAGTTCACCTTTTGCAAACCTGTTGGATTCTTAACTTGCTGCTTATTAACTAGCTCTGTTCTCATTTAAGATCCTTCAAGTCTATGTTGTATAAAAGAAGTTTTACTAATCCAGATGACAAACATAGCCTTTTAATGGTTATATCTTAAAGCTCTGAGGAATGAGGCATCAGAAAATCCCTACTCTGTGTTTGTTTAGAGATGCTGGTTCTCCAGTTACTCTCAAAGAACAACAAAAAAATACTCTTTAAATCATTGTTTGGAAGTAAGGGCATTCTTGTCAGATACTAGGCTTTGACTGAATGATATAATATTGCAACTTCTGTCTTCACAGTTGCCATTTTAATTATTTCTCACCACACTCAGAAGTGCCTTGGATTAAGTTTTTTTCTTTAAGGAATTCACTAATAACCATTTTAGTGTTTGCTTTTACTTGCTGTCTTCCTGATCTTTACAGAAAATTTAAAGGTAACAAATTAATCATTTTGAAAGTATAGCCAGGAAAATATTTTCATATGTGTGTGGGGTAAACTGTTCCATGGTGAGTGATCTTTTGGTTATATGCAGTGGTTACTGCAATAAACATATTTTGAGGTATGTTATATTCTTAAAGCTAAATTTTCTTCAGGATGCCAAAGGTATGGGTTATTACTTTATGTTCTGGGAACCAAGAGAGTATCTGCAGGGAGCTGATTTCTGAGATTGCATTTGTGGATCTCTGTCCTATTGGTTGCAGGAGTCTTTATGCTGAAAAGAGTTGGGGGATGTGTGCCTTTTTGGTTTCATTCCCAGCTAACTTCCCGTTGATGAATAATGAGATTTTAATGATGTCAAAATTATGGCCTGGAAAATCTCATAAAATGTCTGATTTGACATCCAAGTAATGCAATTTGTTATGTTTTGATTTAGTGAAGCAACACAAGTTTAACCTTGTCTACAATAGGTTTTTATCAAGAAGGCTAAAAAAAACCACAATCACACATCTTACTGACCATATACACTTTCAACACTTTTTATTGAGAATTTGCTGAGTCAGTAGTTCCTTTGTGAGGCTTTGAGGAAGTCCATTTCTGTAGTATTTTGACATAATATTGAAGGCCACATCTCTTCATTTTAATAGAACCAGAAATTTTCTAGGGATTGATCACTTTCATTAACTGAAATTTTGTCTTCAGAAACGAACTCAATTTGATTCTCAAATGAAAACTTTAGAAAATAGGACCTCTACTAGGTTAGTCAACAAGGACCTGTCTTGAGCTAGCCATGGTAATAATTTAAGCAGAAGCAGAGAGCAACTTTTTTGTTAGTGTGTTGATTTGACTTAACTGGCAGTTCAGCAAGAGGGCAGTAAGCCACAGATCAACTCAAATATTAAATTTAATTTTGTGAGAAAATAACACTGTTAATAATGGCACTTAACTAGTGCTTACTTTCTAGTATACAGTATATACATCCAGAAACATACAGTACACCTTACTGTTTAGAGGTTTACATTTAAATGTTACACTTTAAGAAATAATTTAATAAATTCTTTGCAAATTCTTTTTACATCAGTAGGCTGATTTTTATCTTGCATATATACAGTATTTTATTCATATTTTTTTAAAATGTGAAATAGATAAGCCCCTATTTACAGTCATCAGAAACCTTCAGGTATGTGAAATGGAAAGGACTCATTCTTGACAACTTTGTCTATTAAAGATTTGTCCATAACAGTTCTTCCATATTTATGATACCATATATTTCCTTAAGTAGGATTTTACTGCACTTGCTCATCTACTGTTTTTTATATAAATATGGCAAAGTTCTCGCTTTTTGGGATACTGCTTTTTAAGAGATACCCATGTGAGGGGCCTGCAATTAGGTTCAGAATTTCCTTAAGAGAGTAGCAGTCAGGCGGTTCCATGGCACAGTTTCTTTGAGGCAACTAATGTATCAAATTATCTCTTAAAAAAATTGAGCAGATATCAGCCTTATTAAATTATGAAAATTGTTTATCTATAGGATTGCCATCACATACATGCAAACATACTTAACTGTGCTGCGATAAAATAGATAAGGGAAAAAATAACCAAAGTTGAGATTTCTAGAGTAAATTATATAAAAACTTGTTCTTTCTCCATCTCTTCAATAGCAGCTTCCATTTTACTACCTAAATCCATTTGTAGTGTCAAATCATTCAATAAGCTTTGGGTCATTGTAAAGGAGTCAGTCTAATGAAGTAAATGCGAGCAGTGAATGATACCAAGTGTACAAGACCAACCATGGATGGAAACAGAGGAGCAAAATTAAAATTAAATCAATAGCACAGAGAAGTGAGAAAGATGAGAGAAAATAAAGATGAAGAGAAATTATGAAAGAGCCATGATCTGAAACCGGGAATTTAACAAGGAGAGAAAGGAACAGAAATAAATGCGATAGTCCTGTTAGAGACAAGGTGAGATGTCTTGGGAGAAGGGGGAGATGGAAGTAAGGAAGCGACATGTAAGTTAAAATTGCACTTAATGCTGCCTGTGTAGCCACACAGCCCTGGCAGTGTCCCAGCTCTGGAAGCCTCTATTCACACCAGATAAGCCAGTTCCTCCCTGCTGGAATTTTTCCTGCATAATGAGATGGAATTTCTTTAACAGATTTTACTTGAGGGATTTAATGTGGTGTATTAGGAAACTTAATTTTCCTCAGACAGGAAGAGGAGGAGCCTATTTTCTTGACAGTTGTAAGGAACGATTTCTTTCTTAAGCACTTGCGTGTGGAAGTGAACTTGAATGCTCAAGATGTGTAGAGATTTGTAGAAAACCTCTCAATTTAAGGGGAAAAAAAACCCCAACCACCCAACAGCAGCCAGTGTCACGTCAGCACAGAGGCGCTGTAAATTGGGCTGTGAATCAGGCACAATGATAAAGAAAGGCTTCATTCCTTAACATGGTTTTAATCAACAGGCTACGACTGTGAAGTAAATTGATGTACTTGCACTGGGTAATTTTTGTGTGGAGAAAAAGCCACAGAAATAGATGATTTACTGTATAGGGTTTAAGGGTTTAAAAAAAAAATCAATAAAATATGAAAGGCTATTTAAAAAGTAAAAAATAATGGAGAGTCTTCAGAAGGACGTTGATAACTTAGCCATCTTTGCTTGTCTTCATATATAGGCATCTGTTATGAAAATAAATTACTTTAATAACATTGAAGAGAAGGGAAAAGATCTGAAAAGGCTGCTTCTCACCTGCTTCCCACCTACAACTTAAGCATGTCTCTATGCTGACAAATTCAGACCAATTATCAGCCAAAATTGTGCTATAAGCAATGGAAAAGGTTCAATTCTAGTTTTGCTTCATGCTTTTTCTACAACAGGGACTTGTAAAGCCACATTTTTAAACTAAAATCATGTTGTATTGTAACAGATTAAGCAACTATATTATTCTGCTGTGTTGCAGGCTGAGTGATGAAGATGTCTTGCTGCTCCCAAATCAGTGGGAGTCTCAGTTTAACTTTGTTAATAATGCAACAACAGCACAGGAACAGGTAGTTCTTGGGTCGATGTTTTGTAGTTTGCTGTTGTGGTAACTGTTGATTTGCTTCCTGCAGCATGATTGTGTTCCTTATGTATTTCATATCCTCACTAAAAGCTGTCAGTCTGGATTGGATTTCTTCATCCTCACTGTGAAATACAGAAACTATACTTTTATTTTGTATTCAAGAATCACACTGGGAGGCACCCCATTTCCGAGAGGTCAGCAAAAAGCTGATGCTGACTGGGATTCCTATGTATTACTCCCATTTAAAAATCTTATATGTATTGAGGGATTTTGTATGGTTTCCAAACCTCCAGTGATGCCCTAAAGATATTTTGCTGCAAACATATCCCTTGAAAATACAAAATGTTAATCATAAACATATTTATTTTTAAGATAATTACTCTTGTTACATGAACATATGTGGACCGTAACACTTAGCCGGGCATTCTTTACTAGTTAAATTTTGATTTAACTTTGTAAACCACTGTGTCCTTCATTTTAATATGTGGAACAAACATCACTCGGTTCCCTCAGAATTAGTTAATAAATATTTTGGAATTCTTGAAATGTTTTAAGATGCAAACAAAGCACTGGAAAAATAAAACACATTTTTGTTAATTGTTACATCTAGAAAAAAATCAATTTACCATAAACATGAAAACTTAGGTTAGTTTGTGTGAGAAAATAATTTCTGAAAATGGTAAATTAGGCTTCTTTTAGAGAGGATTCAATGATGGAGAAAGAAATTAAATAATTTAATTTATAATTATCATTTACTACTTGGACAGGTATAATTGGATAATACGATCTTTAGTAAAGATCATCTATATTGTCTTCATTGAAAAATGCTATTTACTTCATCAAGGATAGCACTGTTAACTTCTTTGCACAGAAAATAAGGTAATACCTTTTTCTATACAAGATACAAGGTGCTTTGTCTTCAGTCAAGACTTCAATATACTGCTCAGTGATTTCTTCAGACAGGAATATTAGAATGATGCAGACAGAGTTTATGTTTTGTAACCAATTCAGTGCACTGAAAGTATCAGATGTCACAGGATTACAGCACACAGGCCAGAGTCTCACAAGATTTCAGCAAACAATTAACTATTTGAAAATTAAGACTGTTTCATGTCACTGTAATGGAAAGCTCCTTGTAGCTTCTTGGTTGGGACTCTCATGTTAATGACTCTGAATGCCAACACAGCAGTATTGGGGTCCCAGTACTGGTATGGCAAGTACTGCAGTAACGGAGCACCAGAGGGTTTTTTCATACCTACGTCATAACTTGCTGTACTACTGTGCGTTCATGAGAACACCCTTGATTCCCACAGTGTATCTTTTTAAGCAAACGTCGTAATTTGTTGGGAAAGTTTTTGTTAATATATCTGTAGAGCAGAGGCATTACAAAGCTGCTTGAGAAAGCCAAGAATTTTGATAAAATCTTGGTAAAATGTAATATTCGAATGTAACTTTCATCTGCAATTCTTCCTTGTGCATTAGTAAATGTGCTTACCAAGAGAGTAACATAATAGGGTGTCCATAACGTGAACTGTGTACAGACTGTGGCAATCAAAAGCCTGTGCACTGATGGATCTAATCGTCCAGTGTCTTGATCCAGTGGTGTAGCCTCTTTGCGTATTCGCAAGATTAACGTCAGTGCATACAGTACAGCGATAGCTGGTACAACATACCCAATAAACACCATAATGGCATCTGCTGCTTCTTTGTTCTGCATCTTGGAACATTCAATTATTTTAGTGGATACATGATTGCAGACATAGAACAGGAGCGATGAAAAACTTGTAAGCATGGCACCACCCCATATGAATCCACAAACATGTTTGGTGTTGTAGACACTTGACATGTAAGTTCTAGGTAGAGCACGTTCAATGTAGTAGTCCAGACTGAGTAATGTAGTAGAGTACATGATAACTAAAGACGAGACGTTGAATAAAATAAGTAAGGTAATATAAACTTCATTGTTAGAATTCCAGATGGCCCATTTTGTATTGGCAAGACCTAGAAGGTATACTGGTGCCAGAGCGTTGATGATGAGACCAGCAATGGCAATGTTGACAAAGTAAACATCTGGCATAGTCATAGTAGCTTTGTTATAGAGATTAACTAGGACCAGCAAGCCATTGTAACAAAGGCCAATTGGGAAACATATAATGAGGTAGAGTAGGGAAAAGATGGAAAGCACAAGGTGGAAGTCATGGCAGAGGTGCTGGTCCTCACTGTTCTCGGTACTGTTGTTTAAGGTTTCACAGCTCCACATAGTGATTTTAGCTTTTGTATCTTCTCCGCTGGTTACCAGCTTTTCTGTAGAGAGAGAAATAGTGAAAGTATTGTTGAAATATTATATTGTAAGTGAAGTGCAAAGTAGTATGAAGAAAACATTGTAAATATAGCAATTATATGCTTTATATAACTGATCCATTTAAGGTTAGTGACTGAAACACCTTTTGATCTCGTTAGTCTAGAAGAAAGTCATCTGCGATTCAAAATTTTGTGATGCTAGTAAATGTTCTGAAGTTTTAAATTAAATTAGTGGCAAATGAGCTGATACAGGACACTCAACAGCAGTAAATTATAACCTGTATATCTTTAAAATAAGTACCGGTGTAATATACATGAAGATTAGTACAACGTTTTTAAAAATTATTAAACAGCACCTTTTATGTAGCTAATGATATATAAGGGTAGTTGCTAAAGAAGGATAAGATGAACCACAAATCTTAGCAATAAGATGAACAGAGTTCTCTAAAGTGCTAAATATGCTTTCTCTCAAGAAGATAGTTTCTTAGGAGGCACATCCAAGGATCACTGGATCCCTGATAAAATTGACAAAGACTAGAGGAAACTGGGAAATGAAGTTGTTGTTTTTTGTGAGGTTTTTTTTGTTTTTTAATAGGTCTGTTTGTATTCAGATTTCCAACCTATAACCATTTAATTCTGAAAGAACAATGGACCTCTGTAGTCTAGGGAACCTAATATGAGGGCAACCTGACTTTCCAAAAAGGCAAGAATTGGCTATCATTTCCTCTCAAAATAGCTCGAATTCTTTAAAAAGTATGCTAGTATCAGTAGTCGTTGTCTAGGTATCTTTGCTTTATCTTCAGTAAAGAGAGAACATTTTAACTGAAATCAGTGAACTTCAAAGCCATCATGAAAAGTCTCATTCCAAAACACAGAAGTAAGAAACAATCTCTAAAGTACAACTTGGAACATCCACAGCCTCAAAATCACAGTTGTTATTACTGCCGGGACAGTGTAGAATTTACACAGCAAGTGATTTCCCACGTCATGTCCTCTGATACTGTCAGATGCTCAACATTATATTGTGTGTATCCCTTTTAGCACGTATAGGAAAGTATAAATACACGTACCAGCATTCCTTCCAGAGCGAGAACAAGATTTAATCAAATCCACAATAAACATTGTGCAATTACAATGAATGTTACTAGACAACATGCTGTACTCCATGAACCATATGGCTACATTACTCACGATGGGTTTTGTAAGCATCCGAAGATATGTGGTTGCATCTCTCTAGTGCTAATCCTTTGACACTTCAGCCATAGTACAGAATTTGTTCCAGAATCGTGTCCACTTCCATTTTTTATTTCCCATTGCAGTTGTTTTGTGTGCATTTTTTTCTAAATACCATAGCCTGAGCCAGATATCTGGCTAAAAATACAGTAATTTTAGCTGGGCAAACAATTTTTTATTCCACTGTCATATGTGGAATATCCTTTAGATAAGTGACTGCAGTGGCAGTGACACGAGATGCAATTCTAGTGTTTTCAAAGCTTTCTTTCACCTTTGTGGAAAAACTTTGTTTTCTGAAACCAGTTCTTTAGCTGTAGTACTGCATCTGAGTAGAAAGTATGGTATCTTTATGTTCTCTTTCAATCCTTCAGCACTGAAAACAACCCAGTTTATTTTCAGGAAGCATCTGTTTTAAGCAAATTTTGGGGTGTTGTTGTTGGGTTTGTGTTTTTGTTTTTTAACGAAAAGCTGTTTTGAGCAGTTGAAGGCAACCAAAACTACATCTCATTGAACTGTTAGGACTTGATTCAACCAAAGCAGCAGAGTGGAACTAGATATTGCAAATACATGCATTACAGTGAGTGCAAGGGCGACTAAGCACAGGCACGGATACAATCACGTAATTCCATTATGTAGGTTTATCCTTAAGCATGTAGCTTTGATTACTCCAGACTAAATTACATCAGCCACAGAATACTTGCCTGTATATTGTCTCTGAAGATCAACAGTCTTTGCTACCATGCTTTATATTTTATAGAGCAGGGGGATGTTTGGTTTCACAAGTGTTTTTAGTAATTACCCTTTTTTATTTGTCCTCTAAGGGCAGTTAAATAAGACAATTCTATTTTAATGACAGAAATTGCAGGCAATTCATTGTGTTAAATAGTAATCTTAGGAAATTACAGAACTCACCTCCAAAATGAGCAAAAATAAGATCTAAACTAAAAATATTTTCTGAATAAATTTTGTTGATGACTGCTAAACTACCAGATGAGGTATTTTTGCTGCTAATGTAGAAATCACGCATTTTTGACTGTCACTTACCTGGGAAGGCACTGAACCTGTTTGTGCTGTACAGGCCCAGCTCGGCATTTCTGACCCAGCTGGATCTTTTGTCATTTTAAATGCAGTTTTGTCTTCACAGACCATGTCTGGGTACGTCCTTACGATGCTTTGGACGTCGCAGTTTTACTCGCTCCATCTCCACTAACCCCTTCTCCAGTCAAAAGGAGTTCTGCAGACCCAGGTTGACTCTTGCATAAGTGAATGCTGCAGTCCTCTTGTTTACCGTGGGCTGACTCAGCCTTCCCTAAAGCTTCCCCTGCTCCTGTCTGCTTTTATACTTGTATCACCTTGAAAATTAAAATCAGAACTTAAAACGGAGAAGGAAGGAGCGTCCTGCCAGTCGCCGCTTTGCTCTCCAACCTGCCTTTCCCACGGCCCCAACCTCGGCAGCGTGGCTGTAAAGCCTCTTACCTTTAATTCACGTTTCACATTCCTCCGCGCTGCCGGATCCGCACGCGTTTGGTCAGCGGCGTTTCCGAGGAAGGAGGCCGGCTGCAAAGCCCTGTCTTGTTTCTCTTTACAAACATGGTGCTCGGCTCTCGCCAGCGCCCGGGCAGCGTGCGGCTCTGCCTGTCTGCCTGCGCTGCACTTGTTTTTCCTCTCGAAGTTACTCACAAGTTTCTGCTTGGCTTGGCAGGCGGCAGGCCCCTCCCTTTCCCTGTTTACAGCCAGTTTCAAGAAGTGAGAGGCTGTGCTCGGAGCTGTTTGATCCAGCTCAGTTTAGTCCCTGGGTTTCAGATTTACTGCTTTAAGATCTATGGGCTGCTGGACCACGCAGGTTTGTTATGGTATTGTCATCTGTGCTGGGGCTCTCCGGGGACATCGGAGAGGCTGTTCCATTCCCTGCAAGTGCAATCAACAGCTCTCGTTCAAAAGCGTGGGTTTTATTTCTAACCTAGGATGAGAATATGTAGCTTTGAGGTTTCATTTTTATAGGCCATACATATTCTAAACAATCAATATTTAAAAGTTACTGGATTATGGAGCACACAAGTGCTTGTGCTGCTTATGAAGGTGAGCTAGCTTGTAATACAAAAAGTTTCTGAGTATTTACTTTGAATTTGGAGACTGTTTTGCTGTTGTGAAAAGGCATCGTGATGTGAGCCTCATTTTGTGATGCTATTATGGATCCTATTCTGTTGCCTTTTTTGAAAAGATGATTTTTCTCAGGGTATTTGCATGTCACTCAAAATTAACAGATGTGTGTGTGTATTCTCTATACCTTTAAAATGGATCATTTCTTAAAAGGGTTTTGTACTGTGGGGTTCTGTTGTTTATATGGAAACTCCTCATACTAATGAACTAAAGTTGCTACCTTTGAAGTACGCTTTTAACTGACACAGTCAAGCAAAAATGAGAGCTACCTTATTTTTTCAAAATAATTTGTCTTATATTTAGAGATTCTGAGGCTTTATTCCATAGCAAATAAACATTAATGAAAAATCCCTTCATTAAAAATTAAGCAGGTGTTTATAGAATAAATACAAGAGAAACACTAAAAATGGTTACTCTGACTGCAGTTTGGTCTTTTTAGGCAAGGTCTGTGCTTCTTAGTTTATATTTAACAATTAATTATGAATATTGTAAAACCACTGCAACTCCCACATGACAGAAAATTCCTATATTCATATTTGATGCATAGCCCACAGACAGAATTGTATGTGCTGTGGATAACTCTGTGGCAACAAGGCTGTGCTGCCTCAAAACTTTAGAAGGAATTTAATCATCATAAGTTCACCAGGGAAACAGCAAAGTAGGAGAGGTATTAGTGTAGAAGTAGTTTTAGAGTTCTGATACTCGGCCAAAAGCCAATTTATTTACATGTCATGAAAGTTGAAGGTTGTTTTAGTCAGATAAAAATTTGCATGAATTACTTAAGAAAAACTTCTTACAGCACTGCACAAAAAATTAAGAGCACTCAGTGGCAAAGATTATTTTAGAAAAGATGTATAAAATGATATTCAGTTAATGGGGAAAAAAAAATAATAATTACTTTTTAGTTGTGTTAGAGTCCATAGCTGCAGTCAGGGTGTTTTCAGATGTTTTCATTCAGAATGCAGCACTGAGTTGCAGAGCAGGTGGGTTAACAGTTTCCAGCATGACCATTCTACACTCTGATTGTTTTATTTGACTTAAAAAACACCAAACTTTTATCCAGCTGGAGCACAATCTCTTAATGTGTAGATTTTTTTTTTTGTTTAGATAATAAATGATTTGTCTGTTTGTTCTGTTATCATCTATATGTGAGATAGCTCTTATCTAGGTTATCTACTTCTGCATGTGTGTTTTCACAAGCTGTAATATCGTTGTAAACCATATGTAGCTAATGAAACTGTTTCCAAGAAGTTAAGTCTCTAAACAGGCCTGAGTCTCCTGCCTTCATCAGGTCTTCTCGAGTTCCCACAGGGTCTCTTTAATTTGTACAGAGACTGAAACCTGAGGGTACTGCATAGAAAGGCTGAGCGCTACATAGAGCTTTGCTGGATGGCACAGGTTTGCTACAGATCAAGACTGAGAAAACTGAAGAGCTTGGTCAGAAGTGTTGTGTATGTAGATAAAACAATTTAGTAGATTGTCAGCTATTCATCAGTTTGTAAGGTACTTTTTGAAAGTGACATTTTAATTATTATTTATGGATTAATTCTTAAAAATGTAAATAATGGATGGTTGGTATTTCTGAAAAATAGCATACCTGCAGTTAGTTG